TATTCAGCAAAGGAGAGCAAAACTATGCTTCCTGGCCTGCTGCCACTCCAGTGACTCATCTTTGCTGACATGCAAGCTAATGGGAGTGAAGATTTAGAATTGCTGTTTCATAGAGAAAAAGGATTTGGGAGAGACAAGCTCATACGTCCCATGCTTGATCCCTGCTAACCCTGACTTCCCCAGGCAATGCCCACAGTACAGCTGAGAACAGCTATGAAACTGCCTACAGGCTCTGTGATTATAGGTGTACATAGGGGTAAGCATTAGGAGTACATACATCAAGGCTTTGGTCTGGAAATAAGATGGCCTCAAAAATCAAAGATCATATACACCACGCTGAACCATTTGCCTATTCAAATAAATAAATGTGTTGCTTTGTTGATTAAGGGAGAGGAGAGGCAGAGAGATCGCCAGTGTAGCCACTCCATCTGTGACACAGGAGCACACAGCACACTGTTGGCTGTTGCATTCCCATAACACACAATCCCTCTGCCTTCAAGAGTGTATGCCTATCTTTTCCATCCCAGCACCAAACCTCACCCACGGCTGTAACCTGCTGCCCTCATTAGCCCAATATTCAGTACCAAGGGAGCCATCAACAACAGAAGCTACTGTGCAGCCCTCTTCCCTTTCCTTCTTCCCCAGATCTACTTGCTTCGATTTTTACCCTGCTTTCAGCACACTGGGCCAGTGCTACTCTATAGAGCAGGATTCAGACAAGGTTCAACCTAAAGGGGCATGGAAGTGCTGCTGTCACCTAATGTATACAGAAATGGATGGGCACATCCAAAACACCAGCACAAAATGCCACAGCTGTAAAGCAGGGCTCAAATTTTGACACTTGCTAGATAACTTATCACTGTGCTGGTAATCTCCTTTGGGACTCCGTCAGTCAGACAGCATGAGGTGTGTATTAGGGACACTTACACAAAATTCAGCTCTATGATGCCTGATTCCCACTAGGCATGTCAATCTTTAATTTGTAATTTCCCTAGTCCTAGCAAGAGCTTCCTGCACAGTGTGACACTCGGCTGCAGTGCTTCACAGAAATCACTCGAGACAGCGTGAACCTCAAGTTCCTGAGCTTCAGTTCCAGTTATAAACACAGTGTTATTTTAAACACTTCAGGTTGAAAGTGTGGACTTCCCAAAACTTGGCTACCATAGTAAGGATGTAAAGGATGGGAAAATCTAGACCTTGCTGATTTTCAGATGTCTCAAGAGAAAAAGCACGTTGGGCAGCTGCTTCTAGTTAAATGTGTGAAGACTAATGACCTCCTTCAAAATTGTGCACTCTGGACAAGATTAATCTGCTCTTTCTTGACGAAAAGCAAAGCAAGCACATAGCAGTGATCTGGTAAATTTTGTGTTTGAATAACAAAAAATTTCAAGTCAGCAGTTCCTTCTTTGCCATTTCAAATAATACAGAGTGAGGTTTAAATGCTGGAGTCACAGCTAAACTCAGAAGGCAGCTCACAGAATCACAGAATGGCTGAGGTTGGAAGGGACCTCTGGATGTTATCTTGTCCAACCGGCCTGCTCAACTTGTGTCACCTGTACCAGGCTGCCCAGGACCATGTCCAGATGACTTTTGAGTATCTCCATGGATGGAGACTTCACAGCCTCTTTGGGCAACCTGTGCCAGTCCTTGGTCACCCTCACAATTAAAAAGTGTTTCCTGATGTTCAGACGGAACTTCCTATGTCTCAGTTTGTGCTCATTGCCTCTGGTCCTGACCCTGGGCATCCCTGAAAAGAGCCTGGCTTAATCTTCTTTACACTCTCCCTTCATATTTTTATACATATTCATTATTTCCATCCTGAGCTTTCGATTCACTATGCTAAACAGTCCTACCTATCTCAGCCTTTCCTCATGTGAGAGGTGCTCCAGTCCTTTAATCAATCTTAGTAATCCTTTGCTGGACTGTCTCCAGTAGCTTTGTATCTCTCTGGTATCTCTCCTGCCCAAAACTGGACACGGTACTCCAGGTGTGGTCTCACCAGTGCTGAGTAGAGGGGAAGGATCACCTTCCTCAGCCTGCTGGCAACACCTCTCCTATTGCAGCCCAGGATACCATTGGCCTTCTTTACTGCAAGGGCGTATTGCTGGCTCATGTCCAACTTGGTGTCCACTGGGATCCCCAGTTCCTTTTAACCAAAGTTGCTTTCCAGCTGGTTAACCCCCAGCATATACTGGTGCAGGACTTTGCACTTCCCTTTGCTGAACTTCACGAGGTTCCTGTCAGCCTGCTTCTCCAGCCTGCTGAGGTTCCATCCCTCTGGATGGCTGCACAACCCCCTGGGGCGGACAGATGAGTGGGCATTTGCCTTAAACATTTTCGGTGCGTAAGATGTGCTGGCCCTGTGAAGAACTGGAGAGCAGCTAACGGCACATGTGCAGGGTTCTAGTTCATTGACCTTGGGGAGGGTCTTGTCTGATGCGACCCCCAAAACAGTCTCCCTGCGACCACCCAGGATGCACCGAGCCTGCGCTGAACCGGACCACGCCCACCCTCACATGGCATCATGCCCACCATGCATATGCATGAAGTTTCCTGGAACTGGGCTGAGATTTTGGGATTTGAACAGGATAAAAAGGGTAACACCAGCAGCTGGGGTGGGACCCCCACCACCAAGACACCAGAAGAAAGAGGACCAACGGGATGCCGCTGGATCCACGGGTGGTGAAATCTTTATCTCTCTTTCTCTTTTTCTCTCTCCTCCTTTCTTCCTTTTTATGACTAGTTCTAAGTAAAACATGTGGCATGGGATTTGTTCATCCAGTTACATTATCCAGTTCAGTACTTGTTATTGGGTTATCATATCTATCCACATGCCTTGTATTTTGTATTAATAAATCACAAAACTGGTTGGCTGGTGTCATTTCATCTTAACTCAGTCCGAAGGAATTATGAACTTAGTCGTTGATGCCAAGGGGATGGAGGTCATCCTAACGAGCTCCTTTTGGGTTGCAACACCCCCAGTGTTTCAGCCACTCCTCCCAGGTTGGAACATGAGCAGACTTCCCAAGGGTGCACTCTGCTACATCATCCAGATCATTAATGAAGATGTTGAATGGTACTGGACTCAGTATTTATCCCTGGGGTACACTGCTAGTTACTGGCCCCTAACTAGACTTCATGCCACTGACCACCACCCTCTGGGTCCAGCTATTCAGCCAGTTTTCAATCCACCTCACTATTTGTTCATCTAGCCCGTATGTTATCAGCTTTTCTCTCAGGATGTTCTGGGAGGTAGTGTCGAAAGCTTTACTGAAGTCAAGCTAGACTATATCCACTGCTCTCTCCTCATCTACGAAGCTAGTCATTTCATCATAGGAAGTTATCAGGTTGGTCAACTATGGCTTCCCCTTTGCGAACCCATCCAGTCATCATCTGACTGAGCCCTTCCTGAAGCAGAGTCATGTACTGCAGCCTCCAATGGCAGAACTGCACTGATGGAATTGGGTCCTCCCTCCGTTTCTCAATATAAACCAGAATGCAACAGGCAGATGAAATCCTATGAGCAGCAATGCCACCATTTTTCCTATCTGAGATGATGGAAGTAGAAAAACTAGCTTACTTCATTTACAGAAATTCAGTAAATGGCCAAGTTAGCTTTAAGGAAGGACTGAGGAAGGGGAAGCAAACCTGTTTAAGAAACTAATAGTTACTCCTTGGAAAAAATAGCAAGCATTTTTAAACACATGGTTTGTGTGTTTATCCATTTTCTCCTTTTGTCATGGTCCTTCACCAACTCACAGCGCAGTAGGTACCAGGCATTACCACATTATCTTTGGAGTCATTAAATGCTAAATGAGACTTCTACATTGTACTGTTAAGCAGAGCTGATGACACAGCTCCCTGAAGGCACCTTGGTCTTATCCTGTTTGCATTAACAAAACCCCAAAGAGATATCATCAGAGAGGATTTGAAAGGAAACTGTGGCAGAGAGGTTGATACTGGCACCTGTAAATCCTCCACATGCTTAAATAAGGAGCTTGGTGGTAATCTCTCTAAATGAAACTCTGCAAAGGGTAACATTTCTGGCACTCTTGGTGCTTCCCAAAACCAAAACTGTCACTGTTATCTTCTAATGCAATGACAGACCCCTCTTGCTCTCATAGGCATACAGAACTTGGGTTAGTTCCGCTCATACCAGAGAAAGGAAGGATCCAGAACACAAAAGAGCGAGGCCAACACCTCCTCCCAGTCCTCCTCATATATAGGGCACAGATACAGAGAAACTTGAATGGGTTTCTACACTGCAGCACATCAGTGTATTTCCTAACTAGCCAGCTGCCTTCCGGATGTTGAAGACCCTAGCTAAAGAACTGAACATCTATGTCCCGTTTGTGTGCATGCACATGTGTGTAACGAGAAGAGAGAGTATGCGCACATGCAAGCAGCTGCCTTTGTCTGGAAAGAGGTGAGATTACACCTGTATAACCACCTTATAGATGTATGTATTAAACAGCTTCCCTAGGACCCCCAATTCAAAGGAGGGGTGGAAAGGAGTAGCCTGCAGTATTGCAATCTGCATGGCAATAACATCCTTATATTGATTTCACCAGGCCAGACTTTCCTTACCTTACTGTGTTTTTCTTTAAGCTGAACTTGTTCATAAAGTGTGCACTGAAAGCTAATGAGAAGATCCTAGCTTCAAGCTTAGCTTCTGGCCAGTGTCTTCAGTGACTAATAATTTATTTTGCATCTAACTTCTTGCCAACACAGGTGACCAACTGTTGACCTGAAGCTATGTGGTCTCCAACCCAGTTCTACCTTAAAACCAGCAGAAGGCCCATATGTTTCTTGTCTAGCACACAGTAAACACAATGACACTCTAGCAAACAGGCTATTTCAGCACCTGGTTATGTCTGAAACTCTCCTTGGTGCTTTGGGAAATGGGAAACAGGGTAATGTCAATGAATCATGTTCATTTACAACATAGTTATTTCCAAGCTTGTTTGATGCTTAGCTTTTGAGGAAAACGATATGCTTACTCACCATAAGGGATATATGCCAAGCCTACTGACAATGAAGACAATGGCAAATGTAAGGAACAGAAGGTCACTCAGTTTTTGACACTTGCAATAGTTTGCCATTTTGGCAGCCTGTAAAAGAAAGAAATGACTGTTTACTTCTGTGAGGACAACTGAGTTCTCTTGTATTGTGTATAAGGTATAAGAAGAAGAAATCAAATTTTTATGAAATCACTAACATTTTCATTGGGCCACCTCACATTGACCTTGTAACTCCTTTCCACAAGCATCTGGAAAATGTCTTCTCAGAAGAAAACCCAGGCCACATAAAACCAGAGTACATCTCTCATTTCTTCCTTCCCCATTCAATTTCCTTGATGAATTCCTACAATTTCAGATTCACAAAACTTTTCTAAACCTTTTATTGAACCCCATAGTGTTTATGCTGTCCTTATCCCCAACCTCTTTACCTACCTGTCTTTCACCTTTCCAGTATGTTCCACTTGCATTTTCAGCATCCACCCATCTTCCACCTGACCCATGCTCTCTGATCTTCTAGTGTTTGCTATATATGAACTTTGTCTCAAATCCTCTGCTATGCCCCAGATCCTACGTTCTCCTACAGCATCACTTCTTCCTTTCTGGCCTACACAGAACAGATTCCAATTCAAAGATTATACCCCTCCCCTTCAAATCTTTTTCCAAGGCTCTTCCCCTCTCCTTCCAACTTGTTGCCCCACGCCTCTCATTTGCCTCCATGCAGTCTTACGACTCCTCTGCAGTGAAGGAGTCATTACTTACTCTTCACTTGAACTGCTCATTAAAACACTGATCTTCCCTGAAGTTTCCTTGCCCTCTTCTCACAGAAGAAAACTATGTGCAAGAAAGCTTATTTTAAGACATCTATGCTGCTTCCACAGCGTTCATGTGTGTAAGCAGTTATTTTAAAACACCTGCTTCAAGACAGGGACAGTCTTTCCTCATGCTTTCTGTCAAATGTATCCAGTCACTGCACAATGAAGTACATGAAGAGCCTGATTTAGTGTCCACTTAGTCACTGGGAACCCTTTCAAAGCCCCCCTCTGAGGGGACCTGTACCCAGCTCCCATACTGAGAAGATGCTTACTTGACAGACTTTCCAGAGGGCTGAGAGGGAGCAAAATAAACCCACAGCTATGCATACAGAATACTATTCTCAATGCAGAATTCAAACTAGAGAGTTGCCTAAAATGGTGAGAGGCACTCTAGCATTCTGTCTGCTTTTTTTGGTGTGAAACCACTGAACCTGAAAGTACTCAATACTCATGTCAGAAAATCTGGATGCCAAAACCAACCTGCACTTTTGGATGTTACCTAAATTCTACAATGTTTCCACTAAAAATCTGAATATAAAAGGATATTCCTCACTAACAGAAAACAAGTTAGGAAGCTTATAAAACATGAGGAAAGCCACCAGTGCTGCAAAGAAAACATAACCCTCCTTCTGAATCAGCCCTATATTCTAGTGGACACAAATGAATTTCCTAGCATTTTGTACTCACAGTCTGGTTTAAGAAAAACAGAACACTTTGGTGCCAACTTGCAAAGCAGCAGAGTTACTAATACCTTGATTTTCAGATGACTGAAAGTTCAGATAGGAATTGTGGATGTATTTCCATGGTGGCAGTCTAAAAAAGCTGGTTTCATAGTGCATGGAGCTGATATTGCTATAGCAACTTGTAGCAGTATCATGCCATTTCTCAAAAACAGTACAGCTGTTGGGTCATCACTTCTCAAATAACGAATCTACAAATGATATTGATAAGGTAGGACTACAAAAAAAAGGAGAGAGTATGTTGTTGTTCTATGGAATTTGGCCATCTAGGACAATATATCACAATTTTCAAAGCTTAAAAATCATGACTACAACTGAATAACACAGCTCTTCCAGATACCCTTGCTAGTCTATTTAAATCCATTTATTTTACAGCACAGCTATTTGCCTTGGTCTGAAGTGTCCATTCCCTGCTCTTTTAGAAAAGTGTGTTAGGAGATAGCTAGAACTTGACAAAAAAGGATTCAGGTTGAACTGTCAGCTATGTGAGCTCCATACACCAGAAGCATACTAAGTTGGTAACCATTCACATCCATACACTGGCATGAAAACTGTCACAGTGTTCCTTAATTGAAGCTGAAAAGTCTCAAGGTCCCCAAATAGGTGGGATTTTAAGTGCTTCAGCAGGTTAGGTCACAGCGTTTCCAACCCACAAGCTGTACTGCAGTGCAGACACTCAAGACTCCACAAACAACTTAGCTGGGATTCTGAAAGTTGCCTCTCAGTATCGTAGATTTCAGTTTAAGCTAATGTAATGGCTTCCCAGGCAAGCAAATTACTCTACATTTGCTCTGTCCTGCCATGGTTCAGCTGCTTTGAGTATCCAAGATAACTTTCACTCAGACCCAAGAGAACAGCTATGTATTCCAGAAAATCCTACTATGACTCTTCTGTACCTGCAGATGCCTTAAGACCTACAGAAAAAACCTCACTTCCAGTATTCCTAGCAATATATACTGCTTTCTGCAATGAGGATAGCAAAAATGTTGCATTCCAGCTTTTTACCGGACATGTTTCATTATGAAATGGTAGGTGGAAAGAGTCTAGTGGCCTCTGGAAATAGCTTTTCAGTTTTACAAATACATAATATGTAAAACAGGTCAGGTGTACAACTGACCCATCAAGGTAAAATATTTTATCATTTTCTTTTGCAGTTTGATAATTTTCTTTTTCTGCACTGACTTTCCCCTCAGTAATGTCAGCAGTGTGTAAGAGTCCATCTTCTCTCAAACGGCACTGGGGCTGTGACCCACTGCCCTAGCAGAAGAAAATCTGTTGAGTGAGTTTTCATGGCCGTCCTAGTAAATGCTGCTCAGGGTTTGTGATTCTCTTTCTCACACTTTAGTATTTCCAGTCAGAACAGACTGAACGCATTGACTAGAAAGACCACTAAAGTATGTGCCTCATGGCAAAACGTATTTGCTGACTGTTTGCAAATCACGTGAGAATATCAGCGATTTCTCTTTGTCTAGCCAGTGAATGAACAGAGGGATTGAGCAAAAATATGTATCTCACTGTGTTCAAGGTAAGGTTTTAGCTAGCCTATTACAGCTATTCTTCAGTGCTTTTATAGTTCCACAGACACTGGCTTAATCTGGAATAAACACCTTCAAGTATGTCCTTCTGGCGGTGAGAGAAGAGGAATGAAGAAAGCTTGGGTGAACCCACAGCTAGCAGAATTGATTTACATTGCTAAACCAGAAAAGTAAACCTGTAAATATGTAATTATTTCTAATAGGAGAAATCTAGATTCTCTGTTGCTTTCTAACTCAGGCATTCATGTGCCTTCTAGATTAAAAAAAGATTAAAAAATAAAGCCAGCACTATTGAATCAGAATGGCAGGATTTTGATTCTGCAACAGGTGACTCACACAGTGAGACTATATTCTTGCATAACACGATCCTTGCAACTACTTTAATAAAAAATAATTTCAGATAAAATAGTTATTAACTTTGGTTTGATCCTGATGGGAGAGTTCACAGACAGCCCAATCCCAGCATCACCCAGAGCTGTCTAAAACCTGGTGCAGACACAGCATGACAACATCTCTAAATTGCCGCTGCGGAAGTTACAGATCAACTTGACTTAAAAGAATTTCAGTCACCCCATCTTCTTCAAAGTCAACTGCTTAATACTGGCATCTGGATGCGGAGGTATGGGAACCTGGAAAATCCTTGGGACCAGAGGTCTGCTCACTGTGCACGCACAAACAGCCACTAAATTGTCCCATACCCTGCCCAGAGAAGTACAGCAGAAACAAACTGTGATGCCTTGATTCTTTCGGATACAGGGTTCTTGCCCCACAGACCACCTCAGAGGGGTCAAGAACCAGGAGCTTCTGCATAGCAAATAGATTCTACCTACTGACATGCTAACTCTCCAAATAGTGAATACCATGTACAGACACTGATGACATACGTATTATCTCACCTCTAGAACAACATCAGCCGCATCATGGAGACATAAGGTCAAGGTTCCCACTCGTGTCAAATTGGTTACATATGAGAAGGTTATCAGGGTGACTGTTACAATGTGATGTGTAAACATGATGCCAAAATCCTAGAGCAGCAAGAAGCAGGGAAAAAGAAACAATGAAGCAAACAGTGAGATTTGGTACTCTTATACACAAATGGATGGATGTTTTTTAAACCCAGCATTATGGTCATGTTCATAAAGATCCTGCTGCACACAAGTGCATTAAATACCCTGCTATATATTTCACTTAGACTGGATAAAATAATTATTGTATGTTAACAAAATGCAAAAATATTATTGAAATCTAGGCAATATCTACACTTTTCAGTTCATAGTATTTTAACCTAATGAAGTAAACATTTGTGGCTGAAGTTACTTTGAAAAGGCATATGTACACACAAATCAAACTACACCATATTTTTAATACACCAAGCAACATACAATACACAAAATAATGCACCATTCATAAGAGTTGAAGTAGCTACATAGGAACGGGAAACACATTTCACCTGCCGAGCACAACTGAGAGCTTTCACAGAGCTGAGAAACCCAGTTCCAGCTTTTTATTTGTTTGTTTTTAATGAGGCTGCTTTGTCGTCACACTGTAACAGTGTCAGAAAAGTCTTCAAATGAGCAGGTGCAGCTCCCTCCTACTCAGATCTCCTCTGCTGCCTCCCAAATGATGCAGGTTAGCTGGTCTCCAGATCAGCAACTCTGAGTTACTTGGTCTGCAAGTTACTGTTACTGTTGAAATATAGCTGGAGCGGTAAAGCTCCTGTAACATCACATTCCCAGACACATGCCAAGGGGCAGGGAAAGCAGAGGGAACAACCAGTCTGCCTGGCCTAGTCTCCCAGACGGGTTACTGGGAGAACAGGACTGCAGAGATGACACTCTTCTCCGTGAGGTCAAGTCAGTCAAAAAGAAGTTGTGCTGGAGTTTGTTGAACTATCCGCACAGCTTTCAGAAAGTGATATCAAAACCCTGAAGAGAAGATCACAGGCATCATTTGACTGGGGAGTTTCTCCATGCACCTGGTGCAAAGTTACCACCACAGCTCTCAACAGATCTAGTGGCTGTCATGCAGGGCTGTCTGAAGGCAGTGTGATGTAGGCAGTCAGAAGCAGCAGCTCCTCCCGGCAGACTGCTCATCAAGCATCTTAGGAGGTGGAATTTGGCTTTCTGGCAGCTTTCGTGGGCCAGTCCTGCTGAGCTGTGGTAGTCACCAGCTAAGCGGCCCACAACAGAGAAACCAAAACGGAGAGCCTGCAGTCTTCAGAGAGGCAGCACCTGGTTTGCAAAGGGACTCAAGGTACTTGTGTCAGGTAGGAGAGCCCTATGGAAAGTGCTAGTGAGTTCCCCACTAACACAGGGTCAACTCCAGAAAAGCAGCAGCTACAGCTGCCAAATGCTTTGTCTCTCAAGTACCGGAAAGAGTAACTGCCCAGTGTCACCATACCTCTCTTTGGGAATGCAGCAGGCATGCAGCAGGCACCACTGTTTTCAAGGACATGCAGTGCTACTGCATTTGGCTTCACTGCAATGTACACCTAGAGTCTGTGGAAAAACCTGCAACTTGAGCAGTCTCACTAACTGAATAGGGACAGGACCTGCTCCCAGCTTATCACTTTATGTTTAATGCCATCAGGTGCTACAAGGTCCTATTTCCTACACATACTCATCAATGGGCATTGCCAGTATCTCCAACACAAAGCTGAGGTGGGGGCGGGAATGGAAGAAAAGCGAAAAAAAAGACTAAAAGCAGAGAACCATATCTTGGTTTGGTATATACCAAATATTTCTCAGTCAGGTTATTTCATCCCCAGCAGTGTGGAGCACAATTAAATACATTCAGCAGTCTTAACAAGCCACTGCTTTAAAACCATTCTCTTAAAGCAGACTGAACAAAAAGACAATTAAAGGCTGTTTCCATTTCTAAGAGTCTTAAGGGAAAGTAGGGGTATGGCATCTTAGTCATCTCAGTAACTACAAACCCACACATGGGGACGATTTCACCATACCATAATCAAAATGGCAAAGCACCTACCTTATTGCCTGGGATCAGAAGTAAGCTACTAGCATTGCCATATGGCCATACTGCAGCCTAGCTCTTTACCTGCTTCAGCTGCAAATGCTATGGCACTGTTCTTCATTTTTCCTCTAACTGCAATTATGTTAGCACATAGGCAGTTCAAATGGGGGAAGAAGCCAAGTAGAAATCTCCTCTGTTTTTATAGGTGACACACTTATGTTCTACAAATACGAGATTTCTAGTCCCTCCTGGGAACTCTTCAAGACATTCCTGACAATATGGATTATTCCTAAGCAGCCTTAACACTCTTGGGCAGCAGTCTTCTGCACTTCTGCATGAGTCTACTTACAGAAATGCAGTCAAGGGAACTCCTTCTCTAATAATGCTTCTTAAAAGTGACAGTTATCTGGCTCTGCCAGCTCTGAAACAGAGATGCTGGACTGACCTACTGAAAATTGTTAGAAAAAAGTAGCAGTGATATAAATAAGACTACTTTTGTTATTCCAGTTCTTTCCTTCCTGTTTGTGACATTTCTTTACGTCAGTAATTAATATTATGCTTTGAAGGTGCTGTTAGATTTTAATTATACATAAGGGTAATGAATACATAGAAACTAACAGTACAAGTCCCCATAATGTCAAGTGGCCCTTGCATTCCCAGGTTACTCAAGCACATTCACCCATACACAGCAGAAAAACAGCTGTACAGGAATGGGCTTTTTCTTTTTTAAATGTATTTCAGACTGTATGTATGTTTGTGCAAGAGGCATCTATTTACAGCAGATTTGTAGCCTCCAATTCTAACTGCTGAAAGATGTCATTTGCCTGTATCATGAAAATATACAGCTAAGAATAGGAGAAAGAACCTACTCCTGACACCATCAGTGGGAAGAACACAGGGCAGACAACAGAGAAACTCCATGGGTCTCAATTCGTAGACAAGCCCTCTGGAATCAAGGCTTCTGCTACCCACATTTGTTTAGTATGTCACACCCACTGACTAAACTGTCAAGTCGCTATGGAGCATTAGTACCACTGAAGGGCAAAACATCATCTCTATTAGTCACTCCAGTTTCTGGAAACAGGCTATGTTATAGATCAAGAAGGAAAGGGAGCATCACTAGCTAAAGGTTTCAACCATTACAATTCTAGTAAAGGTCTGCAAAATGCACACAATCTAAATTCCTTTCCTCTGAAACAAAAGAAATAAGATCTATGACTCTTTCTTTACTGAGCTTGAAGAAAGAGATCTAGGATCCAGAGTTAGTGAAATATAACGTAAGTTTTCTAGACTCAAAATGGAATATTCAAGAAAATTAGCAGCTACAGATTATTTTATTTTGCGAATGAATGAACTGTCATTTTTTTTAAAAAGTAAAACACAGAAGCTCTAGGAATTGCCAAATGCTTGGAACTAAAAGGTGTGAATACACAGAAAGGTCTCCTAGATCTTCTACGAACCTGTTAAAACACTGTTTGAGTAGAAATTTTATACGTTCCCTTAAATACACTCATCAAATATTTTTCTATCAAACAATACTTCAGGTATCCAGAAAGCAAGTAAATAAGCCTCACTGCTTTTAAAACTCATCAGGGGCTTGTGAGAGTGACAAAGTTCCCTGATCTAATTTTTTTTCTCTGTGTTTCACAAATAGGAGTACGGGAAGCTGGACAGAGGTGATAAAAACCCAAATCATATTAGGTTGCAGCCTTTGAAAATTAAAACCCTTAAGGCTAGAACATCATTACAGCAACATAATACATATTTATGAAGCAAATAACATGCCATTATAAAACCATAAAAGTTAATCTACTCAGTTTGCTGCCTTAATGCCAATAGTAGGTATGTGCGACAGCCTAAATAGTTTGCTCACACCTCTTCAGCCAGGCAAAGATAATCTAGTGGAATTTATAACACCTAAATAAAGATAAACAAGTATTTTAAAGTCAGCAAACCAACTGGAAGTAATTTGAAAATAATGAATTTGCTATTAGAGAAGAATAAAACAGAGACGGAAAGCTGCAAGTACATTTCTCCTGAGCTACAGTGAGTAAAAGACCAAGGCTGGAGTTAGGCCAGGGCCAAGTGCTGGTGCTTTCAGAGAGGACCTACTGTACCTCATCTTGAGAGAAACTCAGCTACGTAAAAGCGGTTGGCTGAATTCCTGCAGTGCAGGAGGCTGCCCAGGGCACTTTTGATCCTCCCAGACTACAACACAGGCACTGCTGAATTTAAGGTATCTAAAATGATAACCAAGACTTAGATAAAATTATTCCTCTCATTGTAACATGAAAACACCAACAGGTTTCTCAGGCTGAGAACAGTTAATCTGCTCTGTATAAGCTGTCATGAAGTATTACAACAGCGTCTGATATTAGCTGGCAAATTTCCTGCTTCTTCCAGTTAAACAGAGCCTTATTTCATATGGATGCCATTTCACAAATTGCATATTGGGTACATTAAGAGGTTTCCACATTTTTTAAACTGAACTTGCTCTTTAAAAGAGAACTCTTACGGTGCTGCAAGAGCTGGTGTCTTTATCAAGCTTGTACTACTTTTTGTCAACTACTATAAGCTCCCAGTGCTAACATTTTTCAACTTGACAGGGCTTCCTTGACAGCTTGCACTCGCCCCTGGCCACAGAACAGTTTTACTGCGTGACACCAGCACACAGCTGCATTTCTCTGATCTTCCTAGTTATCAGTTTTGCTTACGCTACAAAAAGAACCATCTCCACAGTCCAAACTGGTCAGTGATCTAATAGGTTATTTATAAATATGGCATCTCCAATGTCTCCTGCAGGGTGCTTATAATGAAAAGCTTTTGACTTGCTATCATCGCACTGCAGATATTGTGCTCCTGCTCTCTGCTGGACACTGGACGTTCTCAGACACAGCGGAGGCAGGGGACCCTGCTTTGATCTGGTGCTCTGGGTTCAAGCACTGCAAATCCACAGCAGGGGTGTTAGCTGTCAGCGATCCACTTCCCCACCTCCACCTCCTATTCTGTTTCCACTGCTGAAAAGCCTTCCTGATAACAAGTACAAGTCATGTATATATAACTGAGAAACAGACTTGCAAAAGATTGTTTACGTGCACCCATACTACGGACAGGATCAGGCTTTAGCTCTGTGCTCAGCTCACCAATGGGAACAAACTCTCCAAGTCATGAGGGAAAAAGCTATAGCATTTGCTAATGAGATGTATTAAATGAGAAAGGTATTACTGAGCCTCCCAATGGCCCTTTTCAGAAGTGTACTTCAGCGCTGAACCTAGATGCTGTTCAGGTAGCCTCCAATTACTTTCCACATGAGCAAAGCAACTAGTCAGGAATCAATTAAATATTCATTAAAGATGTATTATACTGCAAAATTTCAGTACTGTTGCAACTGCAATGCTGTTACATTTTCCTCTCCCTCAAGAGGTACCCAAAGAAAATAAACTATAACCAATGGCACAGTGCAGATGGCTGAATATGAATGTAGGGGGACTGATAAGACACAATACATTTCTGCAGCAATAACCTGAACAATTTGGTAACATCATTGCAGAGGTTTGGTTTTGGTTGATACATTGACAAATGGCTATTCAGCATTGCTGGCACCTGCAGCTTATGTACATTAGTCAATGTTACTCTTGATTTAAATTCTTCTCCACTATCATATAGGTCTGTTGAGTACTGTTTTTCTGTATCTCTGTTTTTTGAAACAGTGAAGTTGTACTCATTTCAAGCTCATGATTAACAGAATGTTTAGCATCTACAGGCAATGCAAGCAAGGGATTTATATGTATTCATCCTAAATTGGTTGTTTTGTTTATAACTTACCCTCCAATATGGATTTAAAATTTGTGGATGTTTTCCCGAGATTTCTACTTCTGGAAAAATTTGGAAATTCAAATAGTGGGGTGTTTTTCTATATACACAGCTCTGACACAAGATTCCCAGGAGCACACTGTGGTTCCAAATAGCAGATAAATTTATTCAGGACATACTGGACCCTTCATTTACTCTTTTCAGAGTTACGCTCCTGCTAAAACTCTAGTAAACAGGGATTTTTTTATTAGCATAACCTACAATCATTTAATTAAATGATGGCAGGAGGCGGCACATAAAAATATTATAAAATCCTTCCAAATGTTTTAAACAAATAATTTTGCAACATTAAAAAACCCTGCAAGAACAATTCAATGGACTGTTATCCTAGAATGAGTGTTGTTCTGCCTGTTCTGCTATGGACTAGCACTCTCCTTGGAGGAGAGAACTTGGGTGAAAAAGTATGGAGCAGGTTGCTACTGATACCGGAAAAATGTTTTTATGTGGCCAGAGTTTTATTTTGTTGATTAATAGCCCTTTAATAGCAATGCTCAGCTACTTGAAATTTCATAACCATAAAGGTATGATTAAATGTAACATCACTTTTTTAATATTAAATGTATCCCTGTTTTTACCATCCCTTTGCAGCATAAATTGAAAGCCCTCATAGATCTTACCAAAGTGATACTGTGAATTTATGAGGCAGTCTTGCTCTGCCATTGATATTTCATCATTTAACTCTTAGAAGAAACAGTACATCTACTAGCTACTACATGTTCAGTTCCATTCAAGTCACCTTACGACAGCAGAAGGTTTTTTTGGCTGCTGCTATTTCCCCTTGAATATTTGCTTACTCCAGGCTCTTCTTCCCATGTGCAGAAAAAAAATCACATCGTAGTAACAAGGAATGGAGGAAGACAAGCACTTCAACATCAGTTTCTCAGTAAATACCTGCAAAAGGTGGTGACTACAAAGAACTGTATTTTCAGTTCACTGCACAGGTAACACAGGTATTCTTCAAGTCAAGAAAGATATGTGCTTAAAGCTTTCAATGTTTTTAGTCTCATTGCTCTTACCTTTCTTTTGATGTCAATGAATTGAGAAAACATTAAGGACCAGTAGAATGACAATTCAACTATGTAGTAATAATGAAGGTCAGGCATCAGTGGCTGAAAGACGGACGTGAGAAAAGGTTAATAGAGTCTAATTGACATTACAGGGAACTGAGGTCTATAGGAGACATGTTTAATCACAGGGGGAGTATTGAATTATGCATAAGCAACCTATGTATGAAAAATGATGATGGTTGCCTCTTTCAAACTTTGATGACCCTGGAAAAATAAAGTTCCCCAACTTACTCTCCGCTTATGTTTTAATTCTGGCAGTATTGTAATATTGTAATACCAAAAAATTATGATGCTGTCTGTTTGGAAGCTAGAACAAACTAAATTTTGAGTACTCCTAAGTCTGTTTTGAAAGATTACTTTAAACATCTTGCTGTACATCAGTAATGTGGGTTTAAAGCACAGCAAAAGAAACAATGCTAGAGCAGATTAGAGAAAAATAATGCTAGTATATAATCTCATCTGCTCATGATGAAAATATGAGCTTTAAACAGGGCTCTTTGTAATATAAAAGCCTACTTTTGAAGAATTTAATCATTTTCTGGGAACATGTTCACATTTGGAAAGAAGAAAATAAAATAAATTTATCCAGGCATCTTGCTTAATATACAACACGGTTACACAGATGTTTAAAAGTAAAAGAAATAAAAATAAAAAGACACAGGAACTTAAGTACAACCAAAACCAACCTGGAGTAACTTCAAAGAAGGTAACTGGTGGCGCACATAAGCTATCCAGCACCCAGCCTAAGACAGCCAGTCCTAGCAGCTACTCTAATTTCCATGCAATTGTGCCCCCTTGCTAGTCTTGTCTTCCATGGCAGTGATAGAGAAGGGCACTGGCACAGGAGAAGCTCCTGAGGGGTTAGATGAACCACCTCTAGAGAATTTGCAGTGACACAACCATGCACCCAAGTAGGGCATGAGCCATTTCCATTGGCAAGAGGCATTTCAGTTGCCTCTTTTATTCCCATACCCTTTTGCAGACTAGGTCTTTGCAGCAGCAGAACAGTCTTTAGGTGTCCACTGAATGCTCTATGTGGGTTATTTAAATACAGACATATGCTTATGCTTTATGAAAAATGTTTACACTCAAAATCAATCTTTTAAAGTCATTTCTTGGGCCAACATAATCATTTTCTGATTTAGTGAGACTGCCAGTAAGCTTATAATTAGGTGTAATCAAAAAAAGGGAAGAGAACATGAGCTAGCAATGAACTGAGACTATTATACTCATTATTGCAAAAGAACTGACCAGGGAAAATTTCTAGTAAAACAATTAAGATTGTCAGCTTCTTTATCAACCATAGCATTAGTATTTCTAAAGACATATATAATGATAATGTAGGGGGATTCCAAAGATATCATGGTTTCCCTCCATGAAAGGATCAATAGTGTGTGTTTAACTTAGTTTAAATGTTAGGTTTCAGTTCTCCATAGACTTAACTTCAATAGGACTATTCTGTGCACATGGGTAAGCGGTCACCCAAATGATCCATTTGACTACATCTACAGTAAGTCCAGCTGGATTTCTGCAATGCTCTGTTCAGTAACTTACAAAGGCTTTGTAGCAAATGAGAGATTAGAAATTTTATCTAGTTAAGAAAAAAAACCAAACAAACAAATTGAAAACCCAGTACTTATTCCTGGTTAGCACCCAGTAGACATTTTTATCTCTGAGACGATTTTGATAATGAATTTTATCTGGTGATTTGCTTTCTGTTGGACCCTCTCCACTAGTAGCACGATTTTAGATACAGTAAATGTAGTTGCCACCCTCTAAAAGTTGTAACTAACTTTCTGAATGACCTCATTTTTCTGATAAGTCTGGTAAGATTCATGGTCTTTCATCATAAGCAAATCTCTTCTTGCAGGTAACGACACAAAAATAGTAGAAAACAGGACTGAAAAGCACCAGTGACTGCAGCCATATCAACTCTGGCAAACGATTGTTCCTAAAATCTCTGACGGAAGAATATTCAACACTTCCCCCATTCAATTTTTTCTGCTGCTTCCCTAATGTTATTCAGTTCACCCTCCAGTCCCCGGGTGGAATTTAAGCCAGTATTTCTTCTGAGGCTAAATGATCAAATTCCTTCAACCTTTTTCAGGTCAAGATTTCCAGTCATTCTTGCTGAACCAGCTCCACCGAACTACTTCCAACAGGTACACAACCTTCAAGAACAGTAGCACCCAAACCTAAACACAGTTCTCTTGTTCAGCCTGTCTGGGGCTGTTCACTGTCACAGTGAATTCATGTGTCTTTCAGCAATACTCTTCTTCATACTTTCCAGTCTAGCAATGACTTTTTTTTCCTCTTCCTTGCCCTTTAGGAAAAAAAAATAAGAAAAGAGGAAAAAAAAAAAGCAATATGCCCTAGACAGGTTAGACTCCTTAAATTGCAAACTCTTCACTGGAGCTTTTGAAATTCAGTGTCAATTATATTTGCATAGCAGCTAATACAATGCCCCAATGATCCCTGTTGAGACTCCTGAATGCTGAATTAAAAAAAAAAAAAGAGCAGCATTTTAAAGAAGCTCAGGTTTAGAACTAGAATTCAGTCTAATTAAAAAAGGCCTCAAAAGTTATTAAAAATTTTGAAGGCCATCTTACTAAGTCAATTTTGTTACCTCTGATTTATAACAAAACGAAAAATTATACTTATTATAGTTCACAATTTTAATCTCTTGTTGCCTCCTGTTATACAAAGGGTATTAAGGAAACAGCTGGCTCTTTGCTTTCCCAAAAGGGTTTCCAAAGTCCATTCCTAGCCTATACACATGATGATACTTTTTCCTCAAAAGCGCTACCTTATTGTTATTATTCATAATATAATAAAAGGGAACATTTAATTAATTCACTGATCCTAACAACATCCTTGTTGAAAGTCACTTCTACCAGATCAAGAGGCAAAATGAGGCAGTGGTACATCCAAGGCAGAGTTCAGGAGTTATCTTTTCTGAAAAATACATTGAATCCTCTTGAGTAGGTTGACTACTCTGTTTAAATATATCACATACTTTAACAACTATATCCAGTAGCATAAACTAATGGAAAGCACAGGAGAGGTTTCTCAAAGCTCTTTGGGTATGTCATTAGAGCAACTATGCTGCTGTGAAAGATGGCCAGAACTTGGACCTAGGAATTAAATATTCCTGGAACTAGTTAAAACTTTACCAGTGCAGTAAGGAATAAGTACGCTGTTATTGTTCTTTTGAAGACTGTTTTAAGGAAACCAAATTTAAAACTTGACCAAAATTTTCTTGAAGGACTGAAAGAGGGAATGAGTGCAGCAGGGTACAACCTGCAAGGGCATTTTTACTTTAACAGTGGCATTCTTCTCCTTAATAAAGGAGAAAAATTACTTAAGTCCTTTCTTTGAAGTTAAGCTATATACTTTGACCTAGAACAGAGAGAAACGTTGATGCTTTTGGAATCCACGAAAATACAGACATTGCCAAAAATAAAACTTGAAGCCATTCTCAATTCCCTTATTAATTTTACCTTTTGTTGTAAGCTTCCCTTTGTTGTAAGGACTGGATAGCCCCTATTTAAGTACCTAAAGGAGAAGCCTACCTTCTCTCTTCAGTCTCCTTTTTGATCACACCAACTGTCAGGGATTAAGTCTCACTCTGTATGCAGTACAACAGCTATGAGAACTATACTGGCTTTTCCCAACCTGCTGAATCTGAGGCTTTGCTAAAACTTTCAGTATTCTCAGAAGTCTGTAAAAAATGACCATTCTACCAGCATTGCAGATGTCTGCTTTCACAGTCAGATTTCCCAGATCTGTTTTCAGATCCTGTGCTTCATTTCAAAACAGGTGTGACAGCTATATTCATCTTTCCCATCTTGAACTCAACCAAGATGGGGAGCATCTAGCAATGATCTAAAACGCCAAGTAGCCCATCACAGTAACATATTGACACAAAGGTCCACCATAATAAAAACAGAGCTCTTCAGAGGTGTCATGTTTTTTCTTAGGCAGCACTGTAACTTTTACCTGATATGGATATCCGTTCCAGCACTGTCTGGTATTCCAGAGCCAAGGTGTCTGAGAGAGAAAGAAAAAAAAAAGAAGTCTGTACACACAATTTTGGGCAATGTTAAGTGTACATGGTTAATACAAGTGAAAGACAAAACTACAGGAACAGCTTAAAATTTGTAATTTTTGATAAAGGCTACGAAGACTGAATACAATAAGGAGATTCCTCAAAATTTCGCAGCTTGAATTAGAGCAACCTGCCTGTTCACAGAGATTTTTGGTTGGTGCCCCATGATCTTACTTTCACAGGAGTGAAGGCTAAATGTAATCAGCTTGTGCTCAGGTGATCAGATCCCACATTACCTTCCCAATAGCACAGGAAATCTTGGCCTTGGGCTCCTCAAATATTTTAAAGAATGTTCCTTGCATGTGCTGTTATATATAAGTATCCTTCCATACAGGATCCATCCTTCACCCCAGACACATCAGCTCGAGATAGCAAATCATACCTTTTGCTTTCCTGGCTGAAGACATGACCATCCACAGATGACAGATCTTGCTATCACACAGAAAATACTCTCATATCTTAGGGTAACATGAAAGGGGCCAGAGACAAATTTATTGTAGCATGCATCTACAGACTTTTGCACTGCAAAAAGCTGGGCAAACTAAAAGACTTGGGAACATGCAGCTCTGTTATGCTTCCTGTATCTTTGCTGTTTGCACAAGATTTATGTCATTATTTTTCTTTCAATGCCACAAGAAAGCCTTTTAAATTTTTTCTTGCAACCAGGTTGTTTCTTTCAGAGTTCTTTAGTTTTTACCTCCTTTTCTGTGCAATTAAATGGACTTGAGATAGAAAATACCATATGGGCAAGGTCTTCTACCCAACATACTCAACCACTAAGTATTCCCACATTGGGTAACAAGAACATGACCAAATCAACACCTATGAAGCAGACACATTTCCCTTTTTGTGCATGAGCAGGAACAACTCCCTTCTTCAGATACGCATGTCTTGCAAAGTACAGCTGCGTCTCAGGTTCTGGCAGCATCTGGACTTTCAGAAGCACATGCCTACAGTACAAGTACCCACCCACTGAGCATCTCACTAAAAACATAAAAGAAAACTGTGGATTCAAGATCTTTGTGCAACTCCTTTACATAACCTTAACTGCTCTACATCCAAGTATAAAGGGGGCAGAACATCATTAGTAAGTCTCCTGGATTAAGGCACACATATCCTTGCAGCATTAAATGCTTCCACCAGATTACAGTTTTTTCAAATAAATCCTCATTGCATGAGAGATGGCATTTTCTTGTTTTCACCATCAGGTGGAGCAGTTCAGCTCAGGCAAAGCATAATAACAAACTCGCGCACAATACAATGGTGAGCGTCAAACCAAATAAAATGAACACTAAGCAGAATGTTAGAGCCCCAGGCTGAGAATTAGCCTAGGTAGGAAGGATTTATATTACATCAAAAGACAGGATAAATGCTAGTAAGAATTACAGACCAATTCCCAACCGATAAAGTTCTAATTGTGATTTGTCTTACAGCCTTTGTTGGTTAACAGTGATGTAACACGATTACTAAGGGCTCTTCCTAGTTTTTTGAATGTGTCCTTCATACAGAAAATAAGATAAAATAAAATTTGCACATTCATACCCTCAATGTTCCTGAAATGGCAAGGAATAATTCTTACAGCAACCTGAGCAGTATATCAACATTTAAAGTAACAGACCTCCTATAGTTTCTGATCTGCCTCTCACAAGGATGCTGTAAGAATGGTTAAAGTCTATCCAAACTTCTCCTTCTCTCTATTAGGAATAATTATTTCATGCAAGCAATTTATTTGTTGAAACATCTCCACAGTAGTTACTGTGATAAGTGAGTTCCCCTCATTTCATGCAACACAAAAAGGTCTTTGGAAACAACCACAGCCTCTCTGGCAAGCATTACTAATATACAGAATCTAAAATATTTCTGTCTGACAGCTGCCTAAATTAGATCCATCCAAATATTGTAGGATAATTCATAGTTTTAGCCAGGTTTGAAAAGCTGTAACTGTCTTTCATATCAGATTCAACAAGAGATAAGAGATGCTTCCTACCCAATTATTTTGCTACCTAAATTACAGGTGCTAGCAAAAATGCACATTTTTCTTTTTCAAATGTTATGACATCTTAAGGCTTCTTCAGAGAAATCCCTGCCGTAGGAGCTGCAGATACAGAGGTTTACGTGCAATTAAAATGCTGAATGCTAAATAAAATAGCGTTCACTGGAGGAACTCATAACCACAAAGCCTGAAAGGATACCACAAACTGACAAACAATATAAAACATGCATTAACCCTCAAAGACCAACACACTGCAGAACATCTGCTTCTTTTGAGCCACATAAGGCTCAGAAAGCCATGCTGCCATCTCAAACAAAAGGCTTCTGAGTAGCTGTTTGGAAACCTAATGGATCCTACGTGGGCAGCAATGGCTAAGACAGCAGGGCACCTACACTGCCTTCTCATCCCTCTTTCTTTCCCGGTCTCCCCTCCCCTTGACTTGCCTTGACATCTCCGAATCGACTCTAATAGTTGCAGCAGCAGGGGACTTTGGTTATGCTTGCCCTGGAGGGTTTTAGGGAAGAGGTAGAGAAGGAGCTTGGTTCAAGCACAGCCTTCCCCTCTGACCTCCACAATGAACAGAGTCCTAGACAGAACCTAACTTCTCCATGTAGACCATGCTTACAGTTCGAGCAAGAAGCAGCTTGTTTAGTCCTCTGTGAACCTCACAGCTGTGGAATACCCTGTGCAGGCTTCAGCAGGGAGGAAAGAATCCTAAAACAGCCCACACAGTCTGCAGTGTGACACCTAGCCACACTGATGAAGGGTGGATTAATCAGAAAGGACCTAACACAAGCACTCTCAGGGCTCAGCTGAGCCCTGTGGGTGCTCACAGCATATGCCTGTGAAATTCCACACACAAGGCAAGTTCACTGTGGAGCAGAGCCCAGCTCTTCCTGAGGTGTCCCATGATGGATAGGGAGAAAATGTCAGTGACTTGGCTTTGCAACAAATCCTTTTTTGATGAACATAAAAAGTGTGCTGCTGTTTCCACTGCCTTTTGAATACCCAAATTTCCATTTTACTTGTTGTTCTTGGTATATAATCTCTGAGGAAGGGAGGAACCTGAGGGGACTGGAGAAGAGAGGAAATGCAAAGATCCAGATAACAAAAAGGCATCCTTAAGCTGGAAACAGAATACTAAAAACTGCAATACCAACTATGTCAGGCACAAAGCACCAGCCCTGCAATGCTGACACCCTCCCTTACAGAACATAAAGGAGTTCAGATGGAAACTTAAGCTTTACCACATTTTGGTGCATTGCCTAGTCAGTGCAGTATCAATGACAGAGGAGGATGATAAATGGCTGTTGAATCTGCTGTCATTTACAGTATTAAGGAACAAATCTCTATTATTTTCGTTTCCTTACAGGAATATCTGTCAAAAGCTCCATCAAATCTCTCTCCAACTCTGTGACCAATGGGAGTAATTTTAAAGAGCTCCTTCAGAATTAAAACTTCTCTAGAGACAAGGGAATGACTGAGGATTTGGGGGGAAAAAAAGAACAAATTATCTGAGAAGTCTGCATGCTTAGCCAGAAGCCTCGGGTTGTTTTGCATCAGGTTGTTGTCCCATTCACTTATCTTTAGAGAAAGCTTCTAATTGGGCCCTACTTTCAGAAGCCCCAAAGCAATGAAAATCTGCATGTCTTGCTCAAAGTGCTGCTAGTACCTAGTATTTGAAAAGCCAGTTTTGATAGTAAATAGAGGGGGGGAAAAAAGTAGTACAATAAAAAACCTTCTGTTTGTGCTCAGTTCCCTAGACAGCTGATTTGGCTGAAAGGTATTTTTGTGTGTATTTTATCAGGGAGGCAATAGCTGCACCTGATGAAGTACTATTTTAAAATAACAAGGTAAATTTTGCTTCATCATACAATAATAAAAATAACTAAGAATAGTCCTCTCTCATCCATATGCACCCACCAGAACCCACTGAGTACAGGAAACACACAAAGGCTAGAAGCTAGGTTCTCAAAGAGACAGACAAGAGCCGTAGATGTCACGAGAAAGCACTTTCCCATACTGTCAGCAAGCCAGCCATCAGATGTGTGTGTATCAGGCATGTCACGGGTCCAAGTGAATTCCATGTACATTTTATAGAATCAGCTTGTGCCCGTAAATATAAATATATATACACATAGGTCACATAAATTTGCAAAATAACTGGTTTTGGGCAACTAAAGTTACTTCCACCAGTCCATCTCACTGCAACTCGCTGTACCAGCAACTGATTCATTTTTCCTTGTACCCAGCATGACTAGAAATCCCAATATGCAAGTTGTACCCACAAGCACTGGTGTCATTTTGCCCTTGGAAGTGTGACCCTATAGACAAATGAAAGGTGCAAAAAATGAATACAGCGTTGCTAGCTCTCATTTTTTCCTTTTGTAGTCCATAAATGTGAAACAAGTAACATCTTGAAGAAAGATTTCCACAAGTACTTCACTAAGCCTCATGACAGAAAAACCCAGCTCTCCACAGAGTAGCTTCTGCCCTAGCAGCTTGGAGTATTAGAACTGTTACACACCTGATTTACTACTGACCACCCGGGCGTGTTGTAACTCCCAAAGGGATTGTTACTAAATTCCCAGATAAGTAAGAAAAATCTTCTGAATTTTCCAGCAGATAAATACAATCTGCCTGCTGTTGTCATCAGAATACAGCATGTAAAAATCCAGGAACATCATGACAGAATCCCCACATCTCACAAAAGCCTATTTATGCTCAAAACCACATTTCAAACCAAAATAAGACATCCTCAGTCCAAAAAAAGATTTTAAGTGGCTTCTGAAATTAGAAACCAGAAAACAAAACCAGTACAATACAGAAATCCTGAGCATTCACTGTGTATATGCTCAATACTCTGCAATCTCAAAAGGCCAAGATTTTATCTGGCTTGGTTAATGTATTTGGATACAGCTTTATGTAATTTGTCTCCGGCAGCTACAA